TAATTTTCACTCTTAGGTTATAATCAATTAATGCCTTATGTATTTCCATTTTGCCGCTGTTCGTCCAAACCAATTGAGATTTAAATCAATAAATTAATTTCTTTTCCATTTTTGCATACTTTATTAAATTAATAATGAACGATTGTTAAAATTTCGAGAGTGTTCTCTGTTTATCAATCAGCCACTTGCCTTGCAGACTAATTTTCATTCATTTACGGCACCGAAAAGCCAGCGGCATAAGATAAGTTTTCTATAATTTATTTATTTTAAAATCCTCACGATAAGGTTTTATTTAGTTATTGAATGGAAATCCCCATTTTGATTAGCGCTGGTTTTTTTCGCAAGCAATTTTCATAAATTTGGAGGTAATTGGTAAATCTGCGATCGGTTGACAAGTTCAAGAAGCGTGCTGTCTGTAGATTCAAATGAAGATAATTAATTTTAAAGTGTCAGACCATTCATAAAAATTTAAATTTTGTGAAGAAATTTTATACGCAAGAAGGAGTACTTAAGCTGTTTGAGCTCAAAAATATATTTTCCAATAAGTTTATGATAATAAAAAAATCTGATTCCATCAAATTTTATTTTATGAATTTTTTCATTTCATTTAAGAATCGTATTTTAATTTTTCTTATAAAAACTGAGTGGTAAAAAAAAACTAAAGTTCTTTTTTTCTAACAGAGAAAAGCCGCTGTTAAGTGATCATAGTTTTAAGATGCACACCTAGTGTATTGGCCTAAAGGGAATTTTCATTAAAAAAAAAATACTTTATCAAATATTTCAAAATTTTAAGAATATATTTATACATGTTTCAAGAAAATACAGTGAAATTTTTGAAGGACAAAATTAAATATTTTTTAAGTTACAGTCGATCTCCGCTGCTGCAGTGATTCCGGCCTTCTTCGTGGATGAAATCTAAAAAAAAACTCATCTTTGTCAAAATCAAAAATTGACAATATGGCGACATTTAAAAAAAAATAGTCGAATTTTACCCAAAATTTTGGTCGTTTTTGGCCTGCCGAAATTCGATTTTTCGATCAGATCAGAATCAGATCGTTTTCACTCGTAACTAATGAGACTCTCTAGCTGCCGATCGGCTGCCATTTAAATTGCTATAACTCAAAAACTATTTGAGATATCGATTTGAAATTTTAATATGTTATTTTTAAAGGTGTAATCTACCGAAATATGAAAAAAGATCGATTTTTTTTTAAATTTTAAACTAGACCCTTGAAGAAGAGATTTATAATCTTGTAAGCGATTGTCCATGACAATGAGGAAGCAGAAGAAGAAGAAAAATCATAAATTGTTTGAAGAATGTTTATTCTTTTATTATTGAGCTTAGGTGGGTATTTTGAAAAACTCTTCTTGTTATGAGTTTTGGTTGACCAGTGTAATTAATAGTTTTTTTTCTCTATTTTTGAAGTTATCTATTTAGTGGAAACAACTGATAAAATTCCTCTTTTTACCATGAAATACAATCAAATATTGAATTGATAAAAACCTAGTCTTTGGTAAAAGAAAGTTAAAAGCCAATACTGGTTACATAAGTATCAAAAAGTATTAATCAATGGCAAAGTACCGTTATATTGGCAAAATGTGTTGATATTGCGGTTAAAAAAAAAGCTAAATAAAATAAATATATATGGAAGAAACAAAATTAGAAGTAAAAGAAATTTAAATAAATAAAGAGAAAATAAAAGCAAAATAAAACCACTTGACTTCACAGAAATCTTATAGACTTATCAGTTATCAAATAATATATGAACGTCATGTCTAGGTCACTATTGAAATTTGAATATAATAAAAGGTAGCTTTATAGGTATATTTATATATACATATAAATTTGCATAGATTAGAAAGCAGAATTATCGCATCGGCAGCAATTGTTAAAAATAAATCAAGTTTTGGAAAATTGTTGTTTTTTAATTCGTTTTTATACATTTTCAATATGAAATATATTTTTTTTAGTTTTTTTTTTTTTTTTTAGTATATTCAATAATTATTATAATTGGTCTTTTGTTTTTCTCCCCTTAAAAATTTTGTAAAATTCTTCACATTAATTTTTATATATTTTTGTATTTTTATTTATATTTTTATGTTTATAATATTTATTTATATATTTTTTAATATATTTTAATTGAAATATATTGCTGTACAAATGCAATAGCAAACGATCTCATTTATTGTTGCTGTACATGAAAAGTATCATTAAAAAATTCATTTGTTTAAAATGCACTTACGACCAGATGTAGTTGATAATAATATTTAAGTACATACCTATATAATGTTATTTAATATTGAAATATATGATAAAATATTTTTTGGAGCAGCTGTTAAAGAAAATTTAATCATAAATAATAATAATTATAATTATTAATATTTTTTATAATTAATTAATTATATATTTTTTTTTTTACTTATTAGCATCTCCAACATTTCATTCATGTCATTTATTGTTAATATATAATATGTATGTATTCCTATATCATCGACAATCTCTATGATACGACTTTTTTATTTATTTAAATATTTAGTTAAATTTGACTTTTGAGTACACGTCAATCAAAAAAGGTGTGAAATGTTTAAATCATTAACAGTGATATACGATCTATTTTTATAATCAAATAATACATATTTTTTGACTGATATTTAATGCATTTCTACTTGTTAAGTAGACAGAGAGAAAGAGAGAGTTGGTAAAAATAAGACGTAATAATATTGTTCAATTAACGGTGCAGTAATTCAAGGTTAAGAGATTTGTTTCAAAAAAAAAAAGTAGTTAAAAAAATTGGCAATTGAATGAGGGATTTTATTTTTATTTCCAATAATAAATCCTTATTATTTTTTTTGAATGATTAAAATATTTATTAGTGAAAATCGCTATCGATTTAGGTTAAAAAGAGAAAAGCAATACATTTAGAATTAATTAATTTTAAAAATTATTTCGAATAATATTTTTTAACAGCCGAGTAGTTAGCAGTACGCACTGTCAACACGGCCGGTACGAGCCGTGGTCTCACCAACAACCAAATTGCAAGAAAATGAATTTTTCTAACTGTATTTACGGCTCGCCTCCACAGCTCCATATGAAACTAAAGCTGCTGTTCGGAGGCGGCTTAGAATAAAATGTAGGTTTAATCATTTGTCAGAAGAAAATTAACACGCACACCTCAAATTGGGACAGGAGCACGGCCGAAAATCCCTTTAGGAGGTTCTGCTTGGAGGAACATATGCCTTAAGCTATGTTCGCCTGATGAGGTCATAATAAAAGCAAAATTGTTTAATATTGTATATTGAAAATTTAAATTCGCATTATTATTATTATATTATTATTATTATTATTATTATTATTATTATTATTATTATTATTATTATTATTATTATTATTATTATTATTATTATTATTTTTATTATTATTATTTTTATTATTATTATTATTATTATTATTATTATTATTATTATTATTATTATTATTATTATTATTATTATTATTATTATTATTATTATTATTACTATTATTATTATTATTATTATTATTTTACAAGCTTAAAAAGTTGGAAAAAAATTAAAAACTCAAAATTAATTAAAAATAGATCTCACGATGCTTACTCGAGTACATAAAAGCGCTCATGTTGTGACTTTGAACCATTGAAAGTGCTACTTTATGAGATATCTTCGGAATGCACTCACCCTCTGCTGGCATAACCTCAAATACACACTGCCAAAGGTTGCTTTTGTCAAAAAAAAAACAAAAGAAAGAAAATTTGATGTACAAATTCTGCTTCTCAATATCACCAATATGTCAGTGATTTTATCAAAACTATTACAAAAACAACACTTACGTAATTAACGGCATCTTAAAAGCACAAAATAGATGTATTTGTTTAAAAGAATTACAAAAAGTTTTCAAACAACCAACCATTTAGGTACATATGTATGTAGGTATGTATGTCTATTAAAATGAAATTTGTGTGTTTTCAATAATTGAAATTTCACTAATGACTGCCTAAGTTCCTGCTGCTATCAGCGCAACAGTGTCTAACTACAGAACACGTGCCATAAAATATTACCGCTACATAGGTACATATGTGCATATATCAGTGTAGGGCGTCAAATATGTAAACAACAAGTTGCAGTCACAGATAAGAGACAAAGTCGGCTTTTAAATTATCATTCGCCTGCAGTGGATGAGGAAGCAGCCGGTGAAAGAGTGCAGAGGCGGTTGTTAAGAAAAGAAAATATGAGGAAGAAAAAAAGCGGCATACAGACATAAAAAGAAAAAAATATTACTGAAAATAATTTTAAATGTAACAAAACCGTCAATCATATTTACATCATATCAGTTAAATGCACTTGTGCGTATATGTATGTTTGTGTGTGCATATTTGACTGTCATATGGCAAAGTAATTTTCATGGCATGTCAAATGAAGAACCAAATAATGATAAGATTGTATTTCGTCAAGGCCAAAAAAAAAAAACAATCACTAACTAACGTTATACTAAAGTAAATTGAAAAATGCATATATACATATGTAAAACTTTGTAGAAGCACAACAACTCTTCACTTAAAACGAATGAAAATAAAAGAATAAAAAGTAATAATAAATAATAAAAAAATAATTAATGAATTCTTAAAAATATGCTTGACACCTTGAAAGTAAATGAAGCGCCATTAGATATATATACATATATACATACATACATATATACATACAATAAGCAAATAGATAGTAAATTGAAATTCCCCACATAGTAGCAGTCGTAAAGCAAATAGAAGAAGTAATTTGGTATTAAATTGGTTTTTCAAAAGCTTATCTTACTTAGATTACTCAATAGTAGCTATGTATGTATGTACAATATTATGCAATTAGAGATAACCAGTGATTTAATTGCTTTCGATATTTACTTATTTATTTATAATTTTATTTACTAAGGAATTTCCAATCAATAAATATTTACTTATTCTTGTTTTCCTCTCTCTCTCTCTCGCTTTCAGACGGAATCTCTGAAAATCTCAACAGATTCGGACTTACATGATTGGTTTATGGAACGTGATATGAAGGATCCGGCTGTTATGATCTTAAATGATAAACTCATGTCCGATGCTCTATTCAATTTACAACCCATTAAATCGGAACATTCATACAGTTTGAATAGTGATGGCGATTCATTGCCAGATTCACCGCGTAGCCTGCAAACGAAAATGGATGGTGAGTAAAAGTTCATTTCCGTATCGATATACGATAATTATCGTTGGGCGAAAATGCAATTAGATATTATAGGTATTGAGGTGAAATTGTATTTTAGATTTTAGTTTAACTCTCGTACGGAGCAGTAACTTCAAGTAAGATTGAGATGGTGGCATTATGTATTATTCCGACATACAAAAAAGTGTCGTCTGAGCAATAAAGGCGACCCAAGCTATGAGTATGAATTTGAATGCAAGAAGCAGTTCACTTGCCTAACATAAATGTGATGCAGTTAATGGGCACAGTTTGCCAGTTTGTCAGTTTGTAGTACAGAATGGAGGTTAAATTTAATTCAAGATGAAATGGTTGTCATATAGAGGGGAGGAGGTTTAAAAGTGTCTAGCCTAGAAATCTTTCTTATTATTCTTATTTGATATAATTCCAGTTCAGACTTCATGCATGTTTTGTCGTTGGTAATGTCCATTTTGTGTATATGTGAGTCCGGAGGTTTGTATGTGGTCTCTATTACATTCTACCATCTTCCTGTGAAGCTTGTTTCTAGAGACTCACCTGGCTACGACAAAGACTCAGCCAGTTTTGATCTGTCCGTGGAGGTATTGTAAGTTCTTTAGATAGACTATACTGTTCTGCACCGTCCAACTTCTTTTAACGTAGCCTTAAATAGACTTAGTGCAGAGTAACGAGTACCTACTTTCCTGACTTATCACGACAGACCCACAGCGGATTTCGAAACAATTTTTTTGGACGCAATGCCAAAATCATTACCGCTCTCGTTTGGAATTATGTAGTAGAAATTTTCATCAAACACACAGTCACTTGGGAGCTGCCTTGTAGCATAAGCTCAGACGATAGTTCTGGAGTAGCACTTAACGGGTTCTATTGGTCTTTTTCGCACTCTCTTTCATAATGAATTCCATAACAGCTTGCTATTGCAGTGCTAGTCCCCGATGCTTAGTATAAATGCTTAACGTCAGCGTAGGCAATTCGCTAAACCAATCCCTCTCTTAATTTTTTTAAAACCCTCTTTACCATAAGTGGTCACAGAAGCATTGAAAATAGATACCCTGAGCTGATCCTCTTCTCACTAAACTAGTAAATCTAGTCTCATTCCACTCTGGTTGCATTAAAGAAATCGAAATAAGCCCTGGAGCGTTGAAGTGTCCTTATATATTCGAGATACAGATAATTTTAATAATAACTATAATTTATATTGAGAAGTACAAGGTTGGAGTATAATCTTGAAAACGATATGTCGATTATCAAGATTCGATATGAAAACAATTCAATTTTATCAGACTAAAGCCGTGGCTTTAGCACTTCAATTCTAAAATTAAAACAACTTCTTTAAGTTGCAGTTCCATGCGTGTTTCCAACCATATTTCATGCCACCCACTTCTTCTTCTTTTTCTAAATTTAACCTCAAAGTGGTGTCAATAAAATTTAATCATTCAAATTGAGTTTCGCCCACCAGAACTCTCTCCATCATCTGCCTTATCTCTACTAAAACTATGTAGACCGTTATCAATAGAGGTTATTTTTAGTTCAAAATACACACCTGCTGATACGAAAAAACAGTAACAACATAATATTCAAGTGCATAGCGAACTCCAATGTGGCACAGCCTTGTTGCAACCTTCATGAGTGGGAGAGTGGGTGAGCGGGTGTTTTTGCCATGTTTTGTAACATGTAGACAATAAGGTTTTGCGTTAGTATGTATGTAAATATAAGCAAACAAAGGTTATCAAAACAACATGGAAATCTGCGGTTATCTGCGAATCTACATTAATTGCCATGAATCCATGTTGATGCGGGTACATGGTAATTATTGTAAAAATTATTAATATAATCAAGCTCTACATACATACGAACTAACCGATCGATGATTGGAAGCACGTGCTCCGAAGCAAAATAGGCGTGTCTATACAATTATTTGGAAAAAAGCTGGAAAAAAAGCTGGAAAAAAAATATTTTGCGGGACCTCTCATGTCACAGCATTTTCACACACAATAATTGCAATTTTATCACAAACAACCATTTCAACGAATTTCGTTACCCATAATTTACTGCCTCTTAGTTTCGCTACAAAAATATAAATTTTTTTTTGTCATTACTGTTACACAAATTATTTGTCGCTTTTTGTTTTAATTTATATGTTTTTTTTATTTGTTTATTATTTAATTTTTTTACTGCTTTAGCCTATGTTATTACTACTACTGTTCGCTTTTATTTCATTTTATCGAACTATATGTAAATTTTTAATTTATGTGTGGAAAATGGAAAAGTACATTTGTCACGATACTCGTGCATTTGCATGTATCGACTTTCCATTACAATTGATTTCCATACACGTATATATGTATGTATGCACAGTTGATCGAAATTGTGCTTAGGTAATGATGGCTCTGTTATTTATTTTTGCATTATTTTAAATTTTCTTTTTAATAATTGTCATTACCGCTGAAAGAACTAAGGGCGACATTTTTCGATTATTTTATTTTATTTATTTTTATATAAGTTATTTTTTTTTTTTTTAATTATTTGAGAACTAAGACCGATTTGCTGAATAAAGGCTTTCATTTTAAAATTTGGAAAAGAAAATAATTATTAGAAATTTAGGCCAAGCCTTAAAAATTTCTCTGACCTCCAAAAATTAGTAATAGAGTTTGTTGGAGCTGCATTTAAAATTTTTTTTTAGTAATATTTTAAGTAAAAGTTTTTATAGTTTAATTCCTTATTTTTATAAATGTAATTTTTGATGATGTCTGATATAAAAAATAATAAATAATTAAAATTAATAATTAAAATTGAATGGACAATATCACTTGACTCTAAGTCGGCAAAGCACAATAAAAATAAGTCAATGGGATTTCAAAATGAACAAATATATTTTTTTTATTAATCAGCCTTTAACGTTTTTCAATTTTTTTCAAAAAATCCACCGCATAACACCACAAAAAAAAAATCGCCTGCCTAACATTTAAGATATTTTTTCATCAAATAATTAAAAATGTAATACAATGTTGTAAAATATAATTTTAGCTGACTTTGTTTAAAAGCAACGCCTAAGTGTAGTAGATATTTAATACATTACCCGAGTTATAGTCAGCACTTAAGAGCAATTTTAGCAAATAATTACAGGATTTGCTTTCGAAAACTACAATTAAAGAAATTAAGTAAGCCCAAATGTAGGCAAAATATTTTATAGAAGAGTCAACTTATGCAGCAAAGTCGCATTTTTTGACAATTGAAGTCCAATTTTAATTGTCAAGATATTATTTTTTAATTAATTATTATTGAATATTGTCCTTTACATTGGTTTAACATACCTCTTTCCTCCTCTGCTGGTGAACTAATGCTCTGAACTCAAATTAAGAAAAGAGCCTGAATGTAGGCAAAATAAATTTTAAAACAAACAATTTTTTTTGTTTTTGGAACTTTATAATTTATTGCCTTCGACGTACTTAAAAACATTTTTTATAATAATTCTTCTTTCCATTTTTACTCCTTCGGCTTTATTCTTATGTGAATTCTCTATTGCTTTGTGTACTTTTTAGGAGTCTCATTTAATAAATTAAAAAAAATATAAAAAACATAAATAAAAAAGCAAAAAGCTACCGAGACAATTGTTTAAATAATATATATTTTTTTTGTAAGAAGTCTGAGTATTGAAATAAAATATTCAAATTCGAGCTATGCCATGTGGATTGCAACAATTGTAAATGTACAAACATACATATTGTGTACTATCTACCAAGGTATGTAGAACTGTGAAAATGTATAAACAGCTGCATCAAAAATACAACAATAACTTGGGCAATAATTGTTACTTGTTTTTAAATACATATATGTATATACTTATATATATATATGATAATATATTATTTTTTGTGCCAGCGCACAAGCTGCCTGTTTATCGGAAATAATTATTCATATATTTTTCCAAATACTTTTATTTATTTTTATTCTTTATTTTTCGTAAGGCAAACTATTGCATTTACCTGTACCTGTAAATATATATATATATATATATACAAAAGTTATATAAAGTTGCTGCCTTTTTAATTTTTAAGCTAAAAACTATATTACTGTGTACTTTTTGTGTATCCAAGGGCCTTCACTTTTATTTTCTTCACCCGCCTGCACTGTGCGCTATTTGTTTCATAATATTAGTATAATTGTTAATATTTGTTTCTTCTAATTATTTAATGCCTTGCAATGTAGTTTTTTCTTTTAGTAAAAAAAATATTATTCTGTTTAGACAACTGCTTTAAGTGGGGAAAATATATAAAACTAATTTATTTTTCTTCAGTTTCAAGGCTTAAAAATACGTCAACGCACAAAAATAACTTATTTTAACTAAAGTTTCAAGTATTTTTAAAGGAAATAAAATAGACAAATTAAAATTGATAAAAAATTAAAATAAAGTTGCTAAGTTAAATAAATATGTGTATAAATCTATAATAAAATAAATCTATAATAATATAAATATATAATATTCAATTTACAAGCATTATTGATTTTATTTAGTAAACGGCAGAAATTGTAGCCTGCTTTCAGGTCCACTTCCAGAATATATTGCAGCTTTTTTTTTAAATAATCCTGCAGGATTTGGTGCTGAGAAGCTGTTAGTTAAATTACAAAAAACGCAAGAAGAATCATCAAAGAAAAAATATAAATATTTTTAGCAATTGCTTTTCTATATTTATTTAGAAATATGCATATGTTTATATGTATTTATATGTTTTATACAAAAAAGTTTAGATCAGGATATAGCAAAAGCAGCAAATTTTGCTTAGATTGAGTATATATAATAGCTTATATCTTACAAAGATATAATATATGTCAAACTTCGGTCGATCGCCCCTAATTAAAGCATATCCGCAGGCGCAACTAATTTTCAAATTGCGCTAACTTTAACAATTTTGCGGATATTTGTATGAAAATTTTTGAATTGGGTAGCTAAAAGCAAAAATACACAAGAAAAAAGTGTATGAAATAGTTATATTGACTTTAAGCGAAAAAAATCAAGACACACAATTATTTATTATTATATAAAATTTTTGATATATAAATATCTAGGCCTTTAGATCAATACAAATTTACTGAAAATATTTTTATTATTTATAATTCTATTTTATCTGTTGCGAATTTTTCCGCTGAAAGTTCATTGATAGCCACCGCTATAGGGATTGTGGTTGACCTTTATATTTTTAATTAAAAAATGGTTCAAACACAATAAGCTCAAGTGATTAATAAGATTTTAAAAATAATGTTTGAAATTTATTTTATTTTCTCACCGTCTCCCGCTCAACAGACATGGAGGATGAGTGTTATCCTGCAATTTCGCTCAAGACCGCCACCAGCAATTCAACACGTTCGCGGCATCACGATGTGGACATCAGCAGCAGCGTTGATCCGAAATGTTTGGCCATATCTGTGGACTGCGATGTAACACCCATGGAATTGGCCACCCTTGAGCCCAGCAGTCATACCACAAGCACCACCACCAGCAGCACCAGCAGCAGCAAGTTGATAACGAGCAGCTTGCTCACCACCGCCGCTACCTCCAGCATACCCGCAACAAGTGGCATACTTAGCATATCCGCCCACACAGCAACTGGCAGCGGCATACTCACCACTGCTACCAGCACCCGCCAAACAACCACAGCGCTACCATTGCGCTACACAAATACTGGCATTTTTACTAGCCTCAGCAAAATCAATACCACCGCACCGATGACATTCAATCTGCGCACAGCCGAAACGTCCACTGGCACCAACAGTGGCGGCAGCAGCAGCAGTTCAGGTTTCGGCGGTAGTAGCACAACCACAATTACCATTGGTAAGCCCGCCACTATTACGCAGCAGCAGCAACAACAGTCACACCTCCAACAGTATCTACCTCAGACGTCGACGGTGAGCAGAGTTTTCGAGCAGAGTAGGTGTGGTACGCCGTCAACGGCACGCGAAGGCAGTTCCTCGCCAGACATCTGCTCGGACATTGAGATCGATGAGTCGGCCATCAAGGATGAGCCGATGTCACCTGATTCCAGTTGCCCGCCCAGTCCAAATTCGCCAGAGTGCATGACAATGGCGAAAATATCACATTTAACCGCGCGTACCGGCTCCGATCTCGTGTTTGAACACAAGGTCAGTATATATGAAGATTTCAAAGCACATAAAAACAGTTTATAACACTCATCTCTTTCATTTTGTACACCACTAGAACGGTTGCTTGCAACTCACACCCGCCTCACAGAGCCTACTAAAGGCGCAGCAACTCAGTTTAAGCACCAGCGGTGCGACGTCCGCTTCAACCAATGCTCAAAACATCGTCATACCCAAATTTAATATTAAATCCGAGAGCAGTAGTTACAATGGTATTGCCGGTTCTGTCAAACATAATGGTCAATATGGTTTGCCATTGACGCCGCCCTCCTGCTCATCGAGTGATGGTGATTCCGAAGGTAATTTAACACCGGAACATTTACTATCGCCACTTTCGCCCAACACATCAGCAGTTTCTATATCTGTGGCCAACCCTGCAGCCATTACACCGGTTACCCTGCACGCAGCGAATGTGCGTCGTAGTGCCAGTAGCAGTAGCTCCTCATCGCCATCATCCGCGTCGTCATCAACATCATCGCTGCACGCGGCTGGTCGCCATGCTGGTGCTGGCGGTGCTAATGGTTCCACTCGCCAGCCAATACACACACCGCTCATCAGCTCACAGCCGGTAGGAAAATATCTCTGATATATTAAATAGTTTAGACTAAATATAGAATTGCCTTCTCTTTTTTTCCGCTCTTATAGAAAGGTTCAACTGGCGTACTAATTCTCACCGAAGAAGAGAAGCGCACTCTGCAAGCTGAAGGTTATCCAATCCCGCAAAAGTTACCACTTACCAAAGCTGAAGAGAAGTCATTGAAGAAGATACGAAGAAAAATCAAAAATAAGGTGAGTTCTTCTGTTAGAATGTTGCAGTATTTCCTATGAGAGAAAAGTGACATGAAGAGTCAAACCGGACGTCTGTCACAAGAACAAGTCAATCTACTGCATACAAGATGAAGTAGATTAACTCAAAAGTCATATCGAGCAACGAAGACACTCTCGTTTACTAGTTCCTACGTTTCCGAGTTTTACATTTCTTACTTATTCAAGTTTCTTTGGTGGTTCTAAACAGTTTCTGCACGAAAAGGAAGTATTTAAAAATTTCCATACAGGGAGGGTAGCAGTTTTAACTCAAATTGATCGATCGATCGTTTTTCGTAGAATTATAGTATATTGACGGTCACATTGTGCTAATCGTTAGTGGTGAGTACTACCATGTGGAAGGTCATGACTTCCAACCCTGGTTAGATCAACATTCAAAATTATAGACAATTTTCAAGTAACCGTCGCCCCTCGGCAGGCAACGCCAACGCTCCATTTCTAACATGAAGTAAAAGGTTACTCACAAAACTCCATCAGATGCTCGAAGACGGCTTACAATGAACTATAACTTCCCTCATTTGTTCTTTCATTTGTGGAAAAAATCTCAAGAAGCACACCATAAATCAGGCTCTGGTGAAAATTGCTTTAGCGGTTGTAAGACATCTGTTTGAACAGTTTGAAGGTCACTGAGTTATAGAAAGGGCAAATGAATTGTAATTCTTAATCCATAGAAATCTTTTATCTCCGGCTCCATTGAGAGCTATCGAATTTATTTTTCAGAACAGTTTGAAAGCCATTGTGTTTTTAAGATATATGGTTTGATATTAAGTGAAGGGTTAATAATGAACTACTTTTATATTTTCAGATTTCCGCACAAGAGAGTCGTCGCAAAAAGAAGGAGTACATGGATCAATTAGAGCGCCGCGTCGAAATACTCGTCAACGAGAATAATGAGCAACGTAAACGTTGTGACGCTCTGGAGCATACAAATGCCAATCTACTAAGTCAATTGCACAAATTGCAAGCGATGCTGAACAAACAGAATAGCAAGAAGAACGCTTAAGCGCTTAATTTTTTTTGGCTATTTTTTATTCTCAACGCAAACATGAATTTATTGTGCGCAAAAGTGTTACTGTGTCAACTCAGATGAAGCAAGAAAGTAGTAGTCGCAGTAGAATTGTTAATTAGAAAGAAATGGAAACTTGGAAATATTTAAAATTAACTGTTACGCGTGTGAATATGAATTGTTGATTTTTAGAGAAAAAATAAATAAATTTAGAATATAAATAATTGCTTGACATATTTTATGAAATATTTACACTAAATGTTAGTGACATTTTAATCACATACATATATGTATATATATATATATATATTTATAAAAATATGTATTTGCTTTTTAAATGTGTGCAAATTCTTTTTTATTGACATAATTTTTAACTGAAATACTATATGTATTTACATGTACATACATATATACTTAGTGTGTAAGTGTAAGTGAATGGGCTGGACAGGCTGTAAAAAAGATTTTATATAAAAATAAATACACACAAACATATTGTATTGCAATGAAAGAACTAAATGTGCATTTCGTATTGTAGATCAATACATATATATACACATATATATACTATAGCATATAACTATAACATATTGTACGTACACACATATTAACGAATTTTTGACCAAAAAAAAATACTTAATACATCATACCATCTACATAATTACTACATAGTACCATTATATGCATACATATATATATGTATTATATATATACAATACATATTTATATGTGTCTCATAAAAGTGCTTTTTAGCATATTCAATAAGCGGAGTTACAAACACACATACATATGTATATCAAATAAATTGTATTTGTAGAAGAAAAAAGTCCAGCCTCTCAGTCCATGCCAATTTCGAAATCCATCTAGTAATGTAATTAGAGTCCATACCTACATGCATACAAATGTACGTGTATATTAAATATTTTAAATAATTTGTAAATATAAATCACTAGCAAAAGAATACTTTGAAACATTCCAATAATTTTTAATAATAACGAAAAGATAGTTTTTAGTTCTTACACATTTTTTTTTTAATATTTTTTTTTTTTAATATTTTTTTTTTTAAATATTTTAAATGTGTGCATTTGGGATTTTAATTTTCTTTCGTGGTGAAACTTTTTGCCATCTGTATATGTTTGGTGCAAATTTTAATGACAATTTTCATTTTAAGTTTTTCTAAAATCTTTATTATATTTAATATTTTTTTCGTTACAATTTAAAAAGAATATTTCTTGTTAAAATTTTTACTTAAAATTTTTTGTTTAATATTTTTTGATTTTTTTTTTTTTTGTAAAAATATTTATTGAAATTTCGCATTTCTATTTAAAGCTATTTTTTATTTTCACATTTTAGTTTAAAAGAAATATTTGTTAAAATTTTAATTTAAAAAATTTTCGTTTCATATATTTTTTTTTATAAACATTTTAATTTAAAGTTTACATTTAAATTTAAAAGATATTAATTTGTAAAAATTTTACATTTTAATTTTAAAAAATTTTTGTTTAAATTTTGATTTAAATAATTTTGTTTTATGTATTTTTTTTTTTTTAAACAGTTTTATCTAAATTTTACATTTCAATTTAAAAGAATTTTTTGTAAAAATTTTACATTTAATTAAAAAAATATTTGTTCAAATTTTTATTTAATATTTTTCATTTCAACTTATAATATATTTCTTGTTAAAATTTTTGATTTAAATTTTGCATTGCAATTAAAAAAAAATTCTTAAAATTTTATTTTAAAGAAAATTTTTATTGAATATATTTTTATTACATCTAAAAAAAAATTTATGCAAAATTTTTTAATTATTTAATTTTTTTGTTTAAAATTTTTAGTTCATATTTTTTCAGTAATTCCTTTGTTCCTTTGTTTTCAGTTTAATAGTTTTCTTTTGTTTAATCTTTCATTTGTTTATTTTCTTTTATTTATTTATTTTTTACTTAGTCTATATTTTTTATATTAAATTTCCTTTTTATATAATTCTATTTAAGCTTACGAAGATTTCAAATTCTTTAAAATTATTTGTATTTCCATTTGCATGCGCAGAACTATTATTATTATATGTATGATTATATTTCAATAAATTTATAGAATGAATTTTATAGGAAAGCTTTCTTCAAAAAGCTTAAAGTTATTTACTTGCACATATTAATATTATATATGTATATCAGCCACATGTGAATTTTTAGTTATAATCGTTTAAGTGCAATTAATAACTGTTTATTTAATTACAGTAATAATAGCTCAGCTATAGTAAAGATAGCAAACAATTTATACTATTAGTTTACGGATTTATTTAGATTTGTTTGCTCTAGTTTAAGTTAAAACTAAGCAAAATATATTTTAAAAATATTATTTGTACATACATACATTTCACATTTTCTGCTTGCATGATATTTTGTGCTTAAAGCTCACAACAACAACTTTACGTACTTCCACTATTGTTAAGTTAAATATAATTATGAAAACGAAGATGTCTTAACAATGAAGCTCATAAAAATACGCATACATATTGAGTAAAACTTCTAACGCATTTTCATTAATTAAATTAACAGATTATTATTATGATTATAATAAAAAAGTTAGAAATATTTTTCTAAATAAAACAAATACTTATTTTCAATAGAAATAAAAAAAAAAGAAATTAACTACTTTATTTAAAAAAAATGGTTTTTACAAAGCTCATCAAATCCATATATTTTTGCCTCGCTTTATGCCAATATATGTAAACACCTATAAACTTGCATAAAAACTAAAATAAAAATACAACTTAAGCAAAGCTTTTAGCATTCACAAAAGTCAAAATAATAACGATAATTTAGTCAGCAACATAAAATAAAATAAATTAACTACAAATTGCATTAATATTATGTTTTAATAATATTTTTTGCTTCACATTTGTTTTCAAAATTTAAGCTTTACTAAAAGAGGCGAGTCTGTAGACATGTTTATTTTTATTTTTACTCTTTTATTATTAATATTTTTTTTTTATTTTTCTTTTTTTTGTTGCATGGAAAAACTATAAAAGCAGCGTTGCCTTGAGCTTGGATGTCAAATTAACGAGAGTAAAGGAGTAAAAGAAAGCGATACAAAAACTAAAGCTCTTTGCGACTTTTGAAAGCTTTCGTAATTACAAAAGTATACGCTAAGCGCGAATTGAGTTCGCAAGCTTTAACCTCCATAAAAAATGTTAAATATAGTTTTTTTTCACATAAATTTCAATTCATTGAACAATCTAGATTTTGAAAAATTAGAAAAAATCTTGTCTTTTGCATAACTAAACATATATAGTAATAACATTACCTTAATTTCCTATGGAAATTCCAAAGCCCACAAAGTTTTTCAAAGTAAAGCGTTAAAACTGAGCCTTAAAAGATCACTGCAAAAATATAAAATCAAGAAAGCTTTACGCTAAGAAAAAAACAATCATTGCAGAAAAACAATATTTTCCAGCCTTTGAATTTCTGTTAGGAAGATATGGGTATTTTAACGGTTTAAATTAAACCAAATTGTTTGGCTTTTTTCAAACGTTTCTTTCCAATTGTAGACCAAGCCTCGTAGAAAAAAAACAACAATTATTAATAAATTTGCGTGCTATATTTTCGACTAAATTTATATATTGAAAAAAAAAAAAAATGGAAGCTGACTAAAATCAAATTATTTGGTGTTTGCTAAGAGTGTTTTGTTAGGCATATTGTTCCTTTAAGTTTAGACAATTAAATTTAAAAATAAAAAATATGTAATTACAAAAGTTGTATTTCAATGAAAAAAGTGCGAGAAAAATTCAATTAGTTTACAAAACTTAAAATTATTACCAAAATTTATACATTTTCCAGCACTTTGAGGTTTCCGTGGACATAAAAATGAAAAAAAAAAAAACTATTTTGAACTTCTGAAGATTTCTTGCATTTGTAACTTATACATTTATAACAACAAAACAAACAAAGTCAATTTTAATGCGAGCTGTTTTTTTTTTTTTTGGTGGCAATAATGTCATAAGAATAAAAATATTGTTGTGTTTAAAAGGAGTTAGTTATTTTAAACCATATTTTATAATATTTTTTTCTGCAGTTTCGTCATTAAGCTCTAGGTATTTAGAAAAAATCTTTCCGAGCCAATAGAAGTTATTTTAAAAAATTATTTTTATTGTAAAAATTATGTATATTTAGCAACTTAGTAGGTAAACGAATTCTATATATTTTCTACTTATAATTCAAATAATAATAATAATTCGGGTCACAATTTTAAACATTATTTTAATTTAATTTTCAAAGCTTTTGTCCGATTTTAATTTCATGAAATATAATTTTTTTTAATCATTTTTGATAATTTTTTTTTAAATTTTTATAACCTCTTTATTCATTTGCAATTTCAATAGTTATTTTCCCCAATTTTTTTAAATCCCCCTTTTTTAATTTGAATTATGTTTATGAATTTGCTTTTGTTTAAGTGAAAAAATAGTTTTAACTAAATGCTTTTGACATTCAAAAACAATGCATATTATAATATTTAAGACTGTTTTAACTTGTACATAAAATTATAAATATAAATAAGTGTATGTAAACATAGAAAATTTAATTAGAAATTTGTGTCAAAAATTAAAATATAATTTTTTATAGGGTTAAACATAAATTAATTAATTAAAAAATTAGTTATAAATATCTATATAATATAATAAAAATAAATTATCGCAATAAATTTAAATTTTATTCATTTCAATTTGTACATTTAAAAAAAATCTTGTTTTATGTTCTCTCTATTTGTTATACTTTCTTAAAATTTCACATTAAAACGATTTATTTTTTAATTAATTTTATTATTTTTTTTAATTGAAAACATTACATTGTTTGTTATTTCTCCACTTTACTTACTAATAACAGCTTACACATAAAGTCCATATTAATTGTTAACATTATAGTCATTAAACGAAACTAGTGTTAGTGCGATTAACATACATTTTCAAACTTTAATATTATTAATTTAATATTGTAAAAATTATCTTTTATTGATTGCAAAGAACTTATAGAAAATATACTATTATTAAGGTAAATAACTGTATAATATGATATTTTTTATGTTTAGTGCAATTTTCGATGTGCAAAATATACATATACATATATATTTGATGTTTGAAACATACTTTAATTTTTCACAAAAAAATTAGCGTAAATTTTGTAAAACAAATTCTAAACGAATTTTTCTTTATTTTTTTTAATGTCTTTTTATAATTTATCTTATTTTATTTTACCTTAATTCATTTCGTTATATTTATATAAATTGGTTTTTATTTATTTTATTTTTATTTATTATTTTATTTATTCTATTTTAATTTATCTTATTTTGTGATATTTTTTTATTTCATTTCATTTTATTTTATTTTATTTTATTTTATTTTATTTTATTTTATTTTATTTTATTTTATTTTATTTTATTTTATTTTATTTTATTTTATTTTATTTTGTTTTATTTTATTTTATTTTATTTTATATCATTTTATTTTATTAAATTTCACTTTATTTTGTTTGTTTTTAATTTTTTAGTTAATTTTGTGTTTTTTATATTAAATTAGTTTTTTTTTTTATTTTACTTTTTAATATACATACGTGTATGTTTTCCAACAAACATTGCCTTTTTTGTCATTTGAACAACAATTTATTAAAAACATAACAGTTTTTTGTTGGCCAAAAAAAAACAACAATTTATATATGGCTAATGTGGATAGTAAGCCGGGCGTATGGAATATTGTATAGAATTTAAATAAAATGCCTTATTTTTATTAATAAAAAGCAACAACAAAGTGCAAGTTCGTGGTACACAAATACACATAAATATACATACATACTTACGATACTACTAATGTACTTATTTACATTAAAAAAAATAAGAAAATATTTTGGAATGTTTAAAATATAGAAGCAAGAATATTATATTGCGCATTAATAAAAAAAATTTAACGTATTGTGCAAAAACAAGTTTTCTGCAATCTAAATCGCTTTGTCATCTAAAATGTGGAAATGTGCAATTTTTTCTCTTTAGCTGAAATTTATATTAAATGCAATTTATTAAAAAAAATAGAATATAAATGTACATTAATGAATGATACTATTGACATTTTAAGTAAAACTTTACCTACATGCATACATACATATATTCTAACATATTTACAATTTGTTGAGCGTAAAAGAAAAAAAAAATTGAAACCAAAATGGAATATTTAAAATATTTATGAAATCTATAAAAAATAAATATTAAAATTGTAATGAAGAGCAACAAAAACTATTTATGACGAATGAACGAGGCACAACTTCCATACAAATATACATAAAATATCTACATACGAGTATATATAAATGATGCATACATTTAAATGAAAAAAGTAGAAAAACTCTAAATATTATTAAGTGTAAACAGAGAAACTTTTAATGCCAAGAGAATGTATAATTTACGTAAATTAAAGAAATAAAATATTTACAATATTTACAAACTAGATTGGTTTGTTGCCTAATATAGATACATACATACTTACATAAAATAATTAAAATTTTATTTACGATTTTTTTCAATGAAAAGTGCATATTATACATACTTATAAATAAATGTACATAGTAAATACAGCGTAACTTATGAATGAATATATGTATATACATACATATATAGAATGCAACTTACTATATAAAATATGCAAATTAAAAAAGACATTTAATATGAAAAAATCTGTGTAAGGTAAAAAATAAAAAATAAAACATTTTTTTATTAATTTAAATGAATGTGTGTGGAGTTAAAAAAAAGCTAGTAAATGAATTTAGAGTTTTTTCATGTTTAATAGATTGATTGAATAGTGAATGAAACACTTTATGCAAAATGAAATAAATATTATCGTAAAATATAACAAATGCAAAAATTATATATATTCAAAAATATACATACATATATATACAATACATATAATGTTTTAAAAGTAAATAAAAGTGATTTTTCATTTGAAGGGATTCCAAAGATTTAACGGTTTTGACCTTGTCCACAACCATTTGGCCGTTTGTGTTGGACCACTATATTTTGCGTGATTTATTTTGCTTTTTCGTTCTTCGAGGAAGCTACCTATCGCGATATTAAGTAATATAATTATAGGTAAAACTTCCATAAATAAATTTTGTATGCCAAATGGTAGTAAAAGCATATAGCAATACTAGTAAGCATTTAAAAAAAAACTACTATTCAAAATCTTTTTTTATATCCAGTTTACCATCAACTATTAAGTCCAAACCGGTCTAACGAGTATTAAAACTTATGCACTCAAGCAAAATTTGTTTTTGAATGATCAGTATGTTTTGTAAAACATCAAAACAGTTTTAAATTTTTTTTAAATTTGCACGTTCGTAAAGGCAGATATAATTTATTGATCAGTTTCACTGCTGGCAATGCTATTGCGTCTTTCTTTTGCACCATTGACAGTTGATTGTGAATTTTTTATTTGGAAGAAGCAGAAGGAAAAACAAGTCAAATTACTCATAAAAATTTCGAGTTTTTTCGTATATGCGTGTAAAAAAATATCAAATTAATAAAAAGCTATAAAAACCAAACAAATTGGATGACCAAAGCACATAAAAGTTTGCTAAACAGAAAAATATTGATTTCGTATATTGCGTCTAGTAAATCAGCAAAAGTGCTTTTCACAACCGGCACAGTTTGTCGCAGTTTTTTTTTTTATTCCTTTTCTTAAGTATACTTTATTGGCAGTACACAGCTGAAGCACGCAAATAAAGTTGAAGTTCAGTAAACAGAAGGCGGTAGCAGCAAAGAGTATTGGAGAAAATTATTTGGGGAGAAAAGTGCTTTTATCAAGTGGTTTGTGGTAATATTGTAGAGATTTTCGCTAAAAATTTTTTAAAATACTGCAAACGGAAAGTGATTTAAAATCAGTTAAAAATATATTCCGATTAATACATTAAATATTCAGAATTGCTGTAAAGCTTTCGAAGGACAAACAAAGGACAGTTCGTGAAATCTGTGAAACATCATCATCAGTTTTTGAAAGCGATTCCCAGTGCCTCCTGTTCAAATTGCTCATTCATATGTGAAACGGGTAGCTTATTGCTTTTTCATTCGCTCAGGTAATTAGTCAAACATCCAAACAAACGCATATGTTTTTTATGATGCAGTGAAAAGGAGGTGGAGAAGGAAGAATAAGAACAATTAACATTACTTCTAGAAGTTATTGGCGAGTGTTTGGGGGCAATTGGAGCAAAATAGAAAACAACATAAAAATAAATATTACACATAGGTGTGCCCAAAATCGAATTGGGCATTCAACTTGTGTGTGAATTGTGCGAAAATTCGGAAAAACAAATATATCGCTAAAAGCGAAGCATTGAGAAAAGTGGAAATTTATAAAATATCTGGCGAGTCACGCATTTTTGAAATTGCTAAATAAAACAAACGAACGTGCATTTTACGATACTTTCTAGAAATCTCTTGTAGTCTTCACAGTAGCGGGTATTTATGTACTCTATCTTTTTAGTGTCGAAATTCAAAAATATGTATTTTTTTTGCGGTTTACTGATTAGAGGAGATAAATATTTTATGTGTGCGCATTTGTTTGAGTAAACAGAAAAGAAAAAACATTCACGTCAAAAATCGAGCGCTGTCCGTGACATTGGTCTCGAATTTTCACAACATGTGTGTGTCATAACAAGGCCGTCCGAGAACAAAAGCAAAAGCAAATTTGTGCGTGAATTTAAACTTATGACGTTCGTTGAAAATTTTAAAAAAATATTACAACGATCTATGTAACACCAGAGAACTGTATTTTCCTTGTTGTTTTCCCCCACCTCTTTTTATCATTAACATATGCATTTGAAACCCACGGTCCAAAAACTGCATACTACTTCATTTTCAATTTATTTTTTGTTAACATTCTGTATAATTTGCTTTTGTGGGAGCGGGCTGAAAACAAAAGAAACGTTCTTCACGAAAAACTCCTCTCGTTTCCCAAAACCGCGCTGCTTATTCCGCGTAATGTTTGATAATTTTCTTAGTATGCTACGTAAACGTAGACGGCTTGAGAATGTTCCGGACGATTCCAACGCACAAACCACAGCTGCCGGACCAGCTGAACGCGCAGCGGGCGCAGAAGCATATTGGGATACATTATTTAACACGGGTTCTACAGCAGACGCAACTGGCATAAGTAGTTCTTCCTTCTCCACTTCTGCGAACACTGCTGCTAGGCACGCTGCCACAACGACGGCTGCCGGCGACAACGACATATCACTGCTGTCGCTACCATCAATGGCACTTTGCTCTACTGATAGGTAATTGAAATTTATTTTATAATTGTTTTTTTTTTTTGCTAAAATATCTTTGCAGTATTTTTGACGTTGAACGTCGCGTAAACACAAAGAGGCTCTGGCAAAAAAGGGAGATAAATATATTAATAGATGTAAAAAGTATTAATTTTTTGGCTCGGTTCACTATTTTAAACCGTATATTCATAAACATATAAAATTAAGCTACGAAATACACATTCCAGGTGTGACTTTGAAAAAAAAAAATTCACAACCAGAAAGTGAAGTACAAAGGAACAGAAAAATCTATACAACGTAAAACATTTTTGGAAAAATATATAAAGCAACCATTAAAGAGATTGCGGTCAGTTATTATAGGCATTGCGATAGTAGGCGTAAGAGCATCAACCGTATAATAAAATACTTCAACAGAATTACATATTCACAGTGACTGTCAAACAATACCATCGATAGCTCATAAAAAGCCACAACTGTTGTCCACGACTAATAAACACACATCATTAGCAACCGGTCAGTGGCATAGCGAGCACATTTGATTTTCTTTATCAGCGCGTTAAACGCAAAATATCTGCCATCACGTCTCAGGGAGAGAGTATGGATATTGATTCCACTCCTGTGCCACCACCACAGGAGTACTCAGATAACCCATCAGGCTATCAATCGGAATCATCAATGAATTTTGATTATTTACATGGTCTACATGAAAGCGGCGCGGCCGCTGCTGCCACTTCGTCGGCTACCTCATTGGGATCAACGGACTCGCCGCGTCATTTTGGTGGTATTGGCGGTGGAATAGATGTGCAGTCCTCGTCAACACAGAGTTATGGACATGTGGATGATAGTAAAGCATTGGACAGGTTGTTATCCAAGTGTATTTAAACTGAAGTTATAATTTACATATACAAATGTGTAGTGATGTTTTGTATCTACAATACAAATGTACATAAATATGTACAAGGAAATGTGTTAAAGCTAACACTATTTATTTAGAAATCTTTACATTCCACTGGGTGCTTCAAAATCAAATATACCAGTCAATGATTTGGTACGCGAGTTAGTAAAAAAAAAATTGTGTGGGTGTCATAGCTAAGCTCTAAATATGTGCATATACACATGAGTAGATAGGCTTGCTGTAGTTACACGAAACGCGTTCGAGCAAGATTTACACTTTTGCTTTTAAGAAAAAAATTCCGTTTATGGTCACTTGAATGTGAGCAAGTCAAAGCAGCATTTATAAAGTAAATTGTGACAAAATCTTACATAGTTTGGCTTAACGTTAAGTAATATACGAAAGATAGATGTTAGTTCAACGTAGTTATGCAAAAAATTATAAAATAATATAATAAGTTAATTAATTTCCCCGCTGGGAAAAGCTCCTCACGATCTTTGAATTAGTAGTCAGTGCCATATTAGTTTTTAATTAATGCAAAGTTATAGTAAAAAATACGTACACTCAACGTCATTAAAATAGAGCTAGCAACACTAAGAGTGATTTCCGGTAAATTTATTCATGAATTTATCATTATTGAAATATTACGAAATCATACTCGTATCATTAATGTTCAGCGCTGACAAGCAAGAAATAACTTTACCATTAGAAAATATATGAAATTAGTTAAATAATTTTGTAGTTATTTAAACAAAACAAATTTTATAACTTAATCCCCACACTATTTGTTTTTCAGTATTCTTTTTAACGCACTAAAACCCAGCGTAAAACATATTTCTTTTATTTACATAGACTATATACATTTCTAAAAAAAAAAATTTATTGTGGTGTGGCATTAATTTTTATTAATTAATATTTTTCTTTATTTTCTCTTTTATTTTTAAAAATATGTACATATGTAACTTTGATGTACTACTGTATCATCCCTCAAACAACCAAACACCACAATTATCAACAAAATCCAAAAATAATATCAATTTACTACTTTGCTTCATCATCGTAAACAATTATTTACTACCACTTGTAACCTCAAAAAACGCTAAACACAGGCCCATTGATCTTAATGAAAGGTAATACCCGTTATGATTTTTTGAATTTTACACAGTTTAATTTTGTTATGTATTTGCTAGCTTTTAACTACATTCACTAATTGCATATATGCATGTTTGTATTTATTTTCCTTTATAGATTTCTTTCAGTGCTAGACCAATTAGATGCGCGTGTTGAGAAATTCCGTAAAGATGCTCTGGGTTTGCAGGAGAAAAAGGATTTTCTGCTCATGTCCGTTGATCTCATCAAGAGTCACGATATGCTGCACACCATGATGGAAGGTAAGTAGCATCAGTTTTTACTACTCTAAAGTATTCATATTTTCCACATTTGTTTTTTTTTTTTTGTAGGTGAACGTGAGGAGATCTTCTGCTACATACATCGTGTCACTTCGCGCCTCTCCACCGTCGATCTAACCGTACACACAGTACGCGATCGTTCCCAGCAGGATGCGTTAAGTCAAATCAACGAACTCATCGATATGATGATCACAATGGGTGATCCAGTTATGTCACGTCAACGTTGCCAACAATACCTGAACGCCTGCTGCAGTGCAGCCGAAGCGTCATCATCATATGAATATGGCGTCGATATGGATGCCGGACCCGTTGATAAGAAATTCGAAAGCGTATTGTTGGGTTGTACGCTCGACGACCAGAAGAATATTAAAAAGCGCTTGCAGGCTTTAATGGGTTACTTAAATAAGCAGACAATACGAAATTAAAATGAATTTCATGTCAAAGCTATGAATTGATGTATCAAAGAGTTGAAAACCATAGACATGATAAAAAGAGAATTTAGTTAAAATATATTTAAAAGAAAATAATATGTAAGCCAGAGTATGAATCATATTATGTATGAATATAAATAGCAAGAGTATCTCTAAAAATAGCAAGAAAAGAAAAGAAAAGGAACACAAATTGCTGCCTCAAAGCGTGTTAACCGACCGCTGCAGTGAAATCTGCCGGAGAGAACAAAACAATGCCATCTTAGCCTGTGCATTTGCAGTTCTAAGTCAAATATATCCAAGTCACAAACATGATTCAAGTCTAGATTTCTACTTTACTCTAAATAATTTTTATATTTTTTGGCTAGATAATATTTAAAATCTTGTAAACGCTGAATATTGTCATTTACAGCATAAAAAGTGGATTGGCTTCCTACCAAAAAAAAAAAAAAAAAAACCACCAAATCAAAAAAAAAATCATCATTTAATTAAAAAAGAAGTTTTATGTCCGTTTCTAGTTGAATTATACTACATACATACACACACAAAAAGCATATTGCATACATACACCCATATGTAATAAATACATATTTATACATTTGTCAAACAAATCGAAAGAAAGACCAAACAATTAAAAAAAAACTGTTGTGTAATGTAAAAAAAACATAAATTAACTGAAGTAAAAAAAATGCTTTTCAAGTAAAAAAATTTAATCTTACAAAACTAAATATCTGTGTGTATTTGTATTTTTAAACTTATTTTAATTGATTTTCTCCATTTCTTCACTCATATATTCGCAAAACAATGATCATCCGGCTGCAGCAGACGATCTGTTAGCAACCATACAGTGCCACGTAGTCCAAAGAATATCTGTTGTATATTTCTCGCGGTAAAGTAGACGATCTCATTGTCTTCTGCCGTTAAATTGCGTTGCAGCTCACAACGCACAATCGCGCCAAACTTCGGCACCGCATAGAAGAGCGCACCCGTACGCCCATCCACCATCATGCCCCTACTCGGCCCCAGCAAGTTGCCCAGTAATTCCAATTCAATAACATTCGCTTTGTCTTCAGTCGTCAGCTCAATTTTAGATTCCACCTTTTGTCCTCTGCTTTGCTTTGCATCCAATTCATTTGTCGTTTCCCGATTGATTACATTCGATTGCGTCTTCAATTCTGCATTTGGTGTTGCATACAATTGGCCATCCGCATCGGCGAAGAGCAGCTCATGGTGCAGACCGAATGCGATGTCAATTGGTTTAATTGGGAAGGGCGTCTCGATTATGCCATGATACTTGCGACTGAGTAGCGAGCGTCGTTGCCACTTTTGTTCCACTATGTCGTAGGCGAGTATGTGCGCGTCGTCGGGTCGTATGAAATATACATATTTCTCTACTTTACACAGCGCTGGACTGGGTCCTAATTTGATGACCAAGTCTTCACTGTCCTTCGGTGCGAGGTAACGACTGCAGTCGATGCGTAATATCTGGGTTGGTGGAGAGAAAAATTGGTGAAACTTTATACATGTGAATAAGTATTCTTAAAAACGCTTAATACATTTTTCAAATATTCCATTTTCTACTTTTGAAGATAATTTCAACCTTCCTTTTTTCCTGTATTCAACTCTTGAAAAAGCCCTTGAAACTCTTCTGAATTGCTTTCCATCGGAGCTGCATGGTAATTAGATTTTCAGCGAGCTCCACCCTAGATAACTCTACACCATTTTCTAGAGATATGGGCTACCCTACTCCTACTTCATTTTCTGCTTTGCTAAACCATTTCCGACATACGGACATAAAGACACTCCTGGCTGACTAAAAGGCGAACTATCCAAACTACAATGAAGGCGGAAAACTACGGAAGTATATCAAGCACCCTGCCTACATAACACAACAGCACAAGAGACGGTCTTTAAAGCCTTCGGAGGGATGGCTTTCGACATGTTTATCCCCTTTAATATATATGTAAAATAAGTTCTCATTAGAAAATGAAGTGATCTAAACAACTTGTCATTTCTTGACGGCCATCGAAAAGTAAGAAAAATATATCCAGAAACTGAAGACTTTGCTTGGCAAGCTTTTTAGGCCACCCACCAACAAGCTTCCAATGGGAATTTCCACTCCAGCTAGTACGCTAACTTTTTATTGTGGTTAAGCAGAAGTTAACTTCCGCTCAAGGGGAAGGTTTTCCAAAAAGCCTAATAGTTCCGTAGAAGAAGACGAAACAGTTTTTAGACCAGTTCGACAGCGAACCGAACCAATTGCCTATTTTAACTTTGTCGTCTAAAGGATATTGGAATACAATACTCTTTCCTCACGCATCTTTCTTTTCAAAACTCTTTATGTGCATTGAAAGTAACAATCTTTCAAGTTCAGAAAAGAACACAGCGAACTCAAAACTGTAGCTTACACATAAGTCCTGTTAAAACACAGTGGGGATCTAATCAAAACACTTATTTCCCTCCACTTCACTCACCTCCGCATCGTTCCGCAGCAAATCGTACACCAACAATTTCGGCGAACACATTTTCGTGCTGCTCTCCACCGTCTTTGTATCGGTGCGCTTCTCTTCCCAACCGGCATCGTATACCCATAAACGCCCCAAATTATCCACTTGTGTCCATATGGCTTTCTGTATCAGCTCACAATCACTACGATTGCCATGCGAGTGTGCAAAACTATGCGGATAAATCTCACTCTGCAATGGAACAAAGTTCTCTGGCCATTTCGTTGCAATCAATGTCGGAAATAGTTCACTCTCTGTGCTAATACAAAGGAAGACACGCGAACAGTAAAGTGAAAGGTGACGCACGCGATACGGTTCGCGAAGGCCGGTCTGTGCTAAGTGCCACGCAAGGCTCTTATTGATTTCCACTGCGATTATCATGACAACGATCAGATAGGTAATTGCCGGCGAAAGGATAAATCCGCCTTTCATTATATATGTATTTATTTTGTAATGTGGTTTTACAGTTTTGATTTGCTTCCGCTGGTTAGGAGCTTTGTAGCTGCAAGCAATTGATCTCCCAATGGTCGCGTTTCGCAGCAAAATAATTTCATTACCTGCACGTTCCAACCGAGTTGAACTAATGAGTGGAGATTTTTTGTTTTGAAAAAGGGAAATTGGCGTTCAATTGCTAAAGTGTCGAAAAATTGTGCTGAGCTCGGCGAAGGTGTTCCCATATCAAATGGCCAATTGCTTGCTTGGCGGCAAAACGATGTTGTAAGAGCTCTGTGTGAGCTTCTTGATTAGTTGTTTTTGCGATTTCTTGTTGTTGAGTACGAAAACGAAATGAATGAGGTTTTAGCTTGAAGTCGTTGTATTCTTTTTGTCATATCAAAAATTTGTGTTAAGCCACGTTATTTGAGACCAAATGTCTTTGGTCTGATAAAAAATTAATTATGTTAGATTATTAATTAACATTTCCGTTAGGTTTAAAGTTAACATGCTCAAGCTAAAGTTTCAAAACCAAAATACGTTCGACTTAATTTAGTGTCGAGATTTTTGGATATATAAATGAAGCTCATAGTAGTTGAGGAACTCTTATGCTGAGGATGAGCTCGAAGAAAGAAAAATACCTGGATAGCATAGTTTTTTTTATCCAGGGCCCTTTAAAACGACCAGACGGACCCTTTTCATTTTTAACTCTTCTGCCGATGTATACAATTCAATAGTGTTCAACTTTGGAGTTGATGCGGATTTTGTCCCACCAACTGCTGTCGCTTTTTCTACAACCCAATTGCGATTAAGTAAACAGGTAAAAATACTCGATCGAATCTGATTTCGCCCTGGAAGGCTCATGGGTTCAAGCCCAGACCCACGGCTGTGAATGTCAACCCCTACCAGCTATTTTCGGCCGAGCTCCTCCTACAATTGGTGGTTTTGCGTCTGGATGTTTTCCCATCAAATGGAGGAACCTAAAAGTTATACCAAGCCGCCTCCATACGGCTGGTGATTTTTTCATGAGAAGCTTTATTTCATGTCAGAAATACACTCGGAGGGGTTGACATTCCCTGCCGAGGGGCGACCTCAATCAGAAATTTAGCTCAATTTTTTATTGAAATTAATTTTCTATAACTTTTTGGATGTTAGTCCGACACCAGGATTTGAACCCGAGCCTTCCGCCGAATGGCAGTACGCAACGCTGACTACTCGGCTACCGTGGCCGCTTACGAGCGTATTGAAAAGTACTTATTCTTTACAGATCCTTAATTTCAATCAAGTTTATAGCCATTGATGGAAAAGTCTATAGCTGCTCTGTGAAAGAGGCAAGTTTAACTTCGACGTTTCACTATTGGCCTCAGGTATAAAAATCTGTTGAATTTTTTAATTACTCTTCATATGCGCCCCCCGTTCGGTTGGAGAAAGGTGGGTTCGACGAAAAGATGTTACGTATTGATTTCTGTAATAGAACATCTGAGGGATTTCGTGATTTTGAAAGTTAAGAAGCTCTCAGCTTTTCGTTGGCTCTGTTTTTTCCAGTGCTGATATCTTGAGTTTCGTTTACCGTAGAAACTTAAATATTGTTCGCTTATTCTTCTCAGTTTAAAGATGTTTTCGTTGAAATCGGTGGTACCTGCTGTTATGGATTTTCTTGGTTTTTGGAAAATACTGCGGTTCCTGGCCGAATAAAATTTCAGTTTTTTTTCTGAATTTACCATGTTAAAGCTTGGCGGAAAGTTCCCCCTTGGCGAGAGGTTCAGGCTTGCATACCATTTCAGTTATTTCAAGCGTAAGTTGCTGCGCTCGAGCAAATGGTGCACCGTAGAGTTGAAGAAGAGGATTTTTCCTCATCACCACCATTGGCATAGTTCTCTGGAAGAAGAGATGATTTTATCTAAGCACTTTCTTATGAACTGTACTGCGTTGACGAGGCTGTTTCTCAAAATTGCCGGATCACATACATAAGTCTAACGGTTCCAAGGAGCTAACAGATATTGACATTAGATGAATTAATAGATACGTATGTGATAGTCACTGAGGGATTCACTGATTGAAAAGTGACCAAGCGTTGAGTATATTTTTATCCTTTCCGACATCACAACTTATGATTCGTGCGTTTGTCCGTGTGTCTATGTGGGAACCTCTTGGGAGTAGTAGTAGTTTCAGCGAAACTAATCCAAAATAGTTGGGACTTTCGACAGGTCTTTGTCTTAGAAGTGTATCTACATATTAAATAAAATTTTCTTTGATAGTATATTTTTTCCATAAAATTATCAGAAAAAGCGTCTGTTTCGGAAACGTTATTATTTTTCTCTTCACGATGAACTTATCTTCGCCGAGGTCCATACAACTTCGGTTGCTGATCTCCCGCTAGTTCTATTGAAGCAGCGCTAAGACTTTCAGTGATGAATCAAAATTTTCCTAGATGCCATTCTGTACAAAGTGTTAAGTGTACACTTATTTATTTATGTATGTAAATTAAAATTAAATTTGTAGAGTACAAATTTCTCCAACTTTTTTGAGTATGAATAAATTTATGAATAACACATAAACAAAGATAAGTTGAATTTTGAAAATTGTTGCTTTACTTTATTATCAGATTGCTTAAATGACTCATTGTGCGCATACTATGAATGATGATGAGTACCTACTGCAATACATAGTACATATATGTATGTACATAGATAAATCTTTAAATATTCATTATAACAGCAGTATTTTAATTACTTTTGCCCCCGGTGTTGCCTTTGGAGTTAATTCTATGAGATTCTATAAAAAACACTGTAAAAACACTGTAAATATACTGTTAATGGGAGACTTGGCTTTATAGAAAGCGTTGAATAACTGTATTTATTGAGGTTGAATATGAGTGGGGAAGAGTTTGATTACTTTCAAGTCTACGATATTTCCATATAAAAAGAGTTTAAATATTGGCCATTGAGAAATTGAATAAAAGGTCTGAACGAAGACAGTAGTTAAGACCAAAGACCGCAATGTAAAGACTAATTAATTCACCGCAAATCCTTTGAAAACTATGAGCTATTTTCTCGATGGAGAATTCGATAGGAAACAAAGCAACGCAGTCTTTTTCGATACTATTTTTACACACTCACACAATAAGGATCTCTAACCTGAAATTCTTGTTTTACACTCTGAGGTGTTCAGAATCCATTTTTCTTCTCCTAAAAGAAGTTTTTTTTAATAAATCAAAATAATTTTCTTTTAGTATTCAAAGCCTTTTTTTTAGAAAAAATGGAAAAAAATTTAAAATATTGACTTTTCACAATTAAAATGTGCGGAAATACAAATTCAGTAGCCTTTCAGTTAACCTTCTCCAATATATCAGTCCAATCTATGCGAAATATTTTTTTATTTTTACAACTTCAGGTGTCATAAAATTGATAACTTTTTTCCGGTGAATCCCATAAATAATGCGTGTACGTGCGTATGTACTGCTGGTTTCAAAGGGAACAACACTCATTAATTGTTGGAGTAGAAAAAAGGGTGTATTTTTGGGCTATATGTCGCCGAATGTTCTCTTCCAAGGCGTAAATCGTTTCGGGTTTATCTGCATAGACAAGCGACATCACATAACTTCAGAAAAAATAGTCCAGTGTATTAAAATGTCTGCTCTTGAACATCACGACAGAGGCCTCGACGCGAGATTATGCGTTAACGAAAAGTTTCCTATGACATGTAGCGTCTTCTTGTTGGAACCAAAAGTTATCCACATCAGCATACCGCAATTCAAGCACAGAAAAAGTCTTTAATCATGGCTCTAAGACTTTTCCCATTAACTGCAAGATTATGAACATAGAGCATACTCAGTGGCTTTTTGAGGATGTAATGTACCTATTCAAACCAAACAAAACGAAAAGCATATTCATCGCTGGAAATTTCATTGTGAAAATCGAAATCGGTGGACATCTCACCGAGCGTGCGTCACGCTTGATGATCCTGCGATTTTAATTCTTGCCCGAGTTGGATTTTGTAGGCCCGCAAACCAAGATCATCCCGCAGAATCTTTCATAAAGCGAATGGGTGCACTTCCAATTGTGACGGGTGATGTCAGGTGGGGCTCATTCGGGTCTTCTTCGATCCTCTACTTCCCAGCAGACTAAAGTCTTCGGAGCGTCTCTGAGGTTGCATATTATTCACGAGAGTAAACGCTTGAATTACCAATTCTGCTGTGCGATTATGTCGACGGAATAAATGGGCGCTGTAAGTCTGTTCATTATGAAATGGTTAGTCAAAGTGAGTATAAGCTTAAGTGAAATAAGGATTGTCTCATTGAAAATCAAGTGTCTAAATTGAACACCCTTTATATGCAATTATGTACATAGTGCAGGGTCTTATAGACCCATATTATGTACTTGAAACGTTTGCGAATCGATAACGATAAGCAAATTTATATATGTTGATTTATTTTTTTTTACTAATATTTACCTACATTAAGGCCAGAAAGTTTTCGGAAACTTTTATTTAAACTGCCCGCACTTTTTTTGTTAAGTTGGTGGCACTGTCCTTAATTTCTATGCCGAAAATGGGCGCGATCTGTTTGCTTGCAGCAGCCTCAATTCGAGTCAGAACCGGTTCCACGGAGTGGTAACTTGAGTTTTGCAAACAAAAACAAATACGGTGGTTGATCGTTGGCATTGAAGGAGTTTTTGATCTTAAAATCGTTCACAATTCGCTCACAATTCCGGCCGTTTACGTCGCTCAAAAAATACTCTTATTGACCGTCGGTCCCATTGGAACGAATTCATGATGAACCAAACCGCGAATATAGCAAAAAAAAATTCCTGAGACTTTCTGGTCTTAATGTACATTTATTTATGTATAATATTTTATTGATATATTGGTGCGGATAACTGTATATATATGTCCATAGACCTGTTGCTTTCATATTCAACACCTTTGCGATAATTGGCAGTTATCAGTTAACCCTTAGTATCTGCCTGTATACATCAATGCAAGCACTCGAGACAAAGTATTTATCTATGTATGTACATACATATCGAACTTCCCCACCAGTATTGAACAGTGCTAAGTGCATAAATTTAGTCATACTCCCTACATATGTTTTAAATAATACCTGCGTGCTCTTTTAAGGGTTAAGCTTTTATACTTAAAAGAGCGTACATAAAAAATAGGTAATACCAATCGAGTGACACGCCAGTTACGGTTTGTGATTGCTAACGAAATAACGTGTTTTGCGCGCTTCCCATAACCTGAAAATACATATTTAAAAAAAAAAATTATATATTTACATAACCGTTAATCATCGAACAATCGAAAAGCAAATATCGAACGCATAAACAAATTACAATTCTAATAAAAGCTCACGAGAGTGAAACGGACGTGCTTAACAGTTAACAAAATTCAATTTTGCGGTCTATTTTATTCATTTTTTTTCTATTTTTTAATCGCTTCAAATTTCAAAGATGTGCGGCGCTTTGTGGGAGTGTATCAAATGTCCAGGCAAAGTTGTGTGCTGGTAAGTGTGTTTTAGAAAAAAAATTATTAAAATTTACCGATTCAATTTATTCAGCTTATTACCAACGGAGCTTGTGATTTATTTCCTAATAGAATAACATTTTATATATGCTCCACCTATCCTAGCCAAATTTATTAATTTCCAGAAATCTTGAGTATAATGTTTCAGTTATTGTTTCGAAAAACAAGAATCAAAGTCCCTTTTTGTATGTAATGGACAATCGATTTGCACGGGTTTCCCTTGAGTCCAATCCAACCAAATCATTTAAAAGCTCTCGGGGCCTGGGTGGAAACGTTCACCCATCTCTTATGCAACTGTTCTGCTTTAGACAGTGCTAGGTTTCGGAATGTAAAGAGGCTTATTAGGGAACCGATATGGTTGAAAAACGAAGCCTTATGATCAAGTTTTTGTGGTATCACAATACAATAGGTCGTACTCAGGCCAAAGTGTAACGATAGATCGGTAGCCACCATAACCCAACCCATCCTAATTTACTGGTTGTCACTTTATAATTTTATCGGACAGATGTACACTTTTTTCATCCACTATAGTTATTACTTTACAGGTATATTATAAGCTTAGAAAGTTAATTATTTTTGGTTTATGTAAAGTAGAAAATATTTCTCGAAATCGGAATATAAAAAATTACCAGGACTAAATGTAGAACTCCAATTTGGTTTCGAATTGTCTGCATTAACTTTTTGTTAGAAGAAAAAATGAAAAACGTAAAGAATTCTCACTTTGCTTTTGGAATATGACACATTTCACGAAAGAAGAATGGAATATGCGACTTTTATAAGGCTTATTGTCCTCCCACCAACCACTAACACAATTCAAGCTCTAAGAGGCTATTTTGTGCCTATAATTTAACGTTGAGGTCAAGGATATGAAAATATTTTTTCCAAATTTTATGATGTTCATTATCATGTCGGAGAGAATATTTACGATTGAATGTATTACTTTATGACGAAAAAAATATTCATTTAATTACTTAAATGCTAGCAGGTGGCGCCATTAAGTCTCAGACAAAAATGTGCCCCCAATAAAGCTTTGTCTCATGGCTTTGACTAATGCTGGTAGACTATTCAAATAGCTAAACCGTTGAATATTTTTTTATTACATGAAAATTAATTATATTGTACTCATATGCATACTTGGCCATATATTATATTATATGCATGTCTGTCCACCTTGTTACTCGATTGGCCATCGCATTACAAATCCCCATTAGCCTTGAAAATTGTTTTTGCCATAGAAGTACTTGTCAATTTTTATTTTTTTTTTGTTTTTTTTTTTCCAAATAAAAGTAGTTCAATGAGTACATTGTAAACGGAAAGCATGTGAAAACCCAAAAGCGAATATTTCATAACGGCTGAGTGGAATAAAAGCTGTCATTTGTTTGATAACAAATCCACCGTAAGGTGTAAATAACGGTCTGAGTAATTAGTGAAGAGCTGATAATGCATACAAATACAAAGACACCAGAAAAATACAAACACAAATATTTATTGCCTATAAAGTAACAGAGCTGTAGGAAAAAGTAAATGAAGTTGAGGCCGTTAGTAAAGGTAAACTAATTACAGAGGGAGTAGTTAGTAGCTAGTTGTACTGATGTTAGTTTAATGTATAAAAAAAATATATTTTTTTTTAAGTATTTTAAAAGAGATTAAAATGTTATTAATTTATTGTCAAACTAATTACACATACACTAGTTTTAAGAAAGTAAATTGTAAAGTCAAAATAAATTTCTTTATAGATAGTTTGAAACAGAACAATTATTAAACAAACGGACTAGTTAGTAACTAATTGAAAAGTAAAAATACATTTTCTCTAAATAACTTTAAACAGAAATAATATATTTTTTATATGAGTCTATTATTTTTTCTCTTCTCTTCTCTATAGTTGCTGCAAATGTGCGCTGAATATGTTCCTCGGCGTATTCTGTTCGATCATAGTACTGGCTGTGGTAATCGGTCTAATCGTATACTTCACTGTCTATTACCATAAGGATAGCAATAAGGAAGATACGACGAAAATGGTGCAACAAGTTATCACAGCGGCGCCGTCAACGTTTAGGGACTACTTCCAGCGACAAAATTAATTTAAATTTAATTGTAGTTGAGACGGAATTCTCACCTAAGCGATTGATTTAGCTCACCAGTATGTATTATGCTTCTTGTAAATATCCTTAATTTAGTAATAAATTTTATATTTATTTCAAAAGAACTTTTTTTTTATATTTTTAACAAACATGTATGTACAAATGAAATGCTGAAATAAAAAATTATGATGAAGTAATTAAATTATTGTTATTGTTATTGTGGTTATACATTTAATGTTCAAAGTATTGCCCATCGGAAGCTACGATATTTGCCCATTTTTCTAGCGGTTTGTGGATCCCATCTCAAAAGAACTTCTCCGGCTTGGAGGTCAAGAAAGAATCGACCCAATTTCTGATACCCTGTTTTGAAGTGAAGCGTACTCCGGTGAGGGCATTCTGCATTGATCTGAATAAGTGGTAATCGGAAGGTGCTATGTCTGGGCTATAAGGGGGGTGAGGTAGAGTGGGAAGTTTTCTATATAGTTTTTAACTGGCCTTGCAACATGTGACCGAGCGTTGTCATGGTGAAAAATTATTGATACGTGTGTGGTCGCATATTCTGGTCGTTTTTCCGGGATGGCTTTTTTCAAATGAATCAGTTACTTTTGGTAGAGGTCCCCAGTGATCTTCTGACTCGATTTAAATAGCTCATAGTAGAGCACACCCTTGCGGTCCCACCAAATACATAGCATAATCCTGGCACCATGGATATTCGGCTTTGCCGTGGATGTCGATGGTTGGTCGGGCTTCACATACGATCTCTTGCGCTTTGGGTTATCATAATAAATCCATTTTTCATCGCCAGTGACAATCCGATGCAAAAATGACTTCTTTTGGTGGCGTTGAAGCAACATTTCCGACATGAAGAATCGACGTTCGACGCCTCTTGGCTTTAATTCATTAGACAGCCAATTACCAAGCTTCTGGATGAATCATAATAAATTGAATCAGCTGGAAAGTATTGCTTGATCAACTCTTAATACTTTTGCAAGTTCTTCTTTCGTCTGGCATGCATCTGTGTCGAGCAATGTCTCCAATTCTACGTCGTCTAAGTCGAAATTGCCACTTTTGGCACATTCGTTTGTCTAAAGCATGGTCCCCATAAACGCCCAACGATGGCTTTCGGTAGCACTTTTCTTCATGTGAATGAATGAAACAAATTGTTGTTCACGCTACAACAAATGACATCTGCTGAAAACGACGGGAAATACCAGTACCTTTGAAATGAATATCACCACAGATGGACACGACGCGAAATGACAGTAGTAGATCTCTCTCTTAGAAAACCGTACGAACTCATGCATACACTCAATATAAAACTTTCGCTTAATCTAATCGCTAATTTGATATTTTAATTAGTCACAAAAATCATAAAAAACCATATATGTATGTGAGTCTATGCACAAATATATGTATGAATATGTATGTATGTGTACAAATAATGATTTTTTTTTTATAAATGGCCATAAATAACTATTGTTTCGATATAATTGATCTGGCATTTTATATAGATAAGATTAAACTATATATAGTTAGATGTATTACTTTCTTGGAGTTCTGAGAATTATAAAAAAAATATTTTTTCTCATTAAATTAGTTTATGCATTTGATAAATGTTATACAGATAATTTCTAATAATTTCCATATAACAGTGCTGGTATATATGTATGAGCATATGTACATGCTTGTTTACGATTTAATATTAGGGTAAACACTTAGTGAAGCGTAGAGTGAGGGTGGAGGTTAGATTGCACTGGTATACTCGGCGGGTTTCACTTAGACCCCACTTAGACTCCGACTTAGGCTCCTTCTCCATTTCCTATTGGAAGTCTAGTTTTCGTGATTTTTCAGCCTTAAGAGCGAAAGAGGGAGAAAGGGGAAAAGCCATTTTCTCAGCTTCTGATAAATTTCAGACATCGTCAGAAAACTAAGAATATCGCTCAATCATTATATTTACCCACTCAAATAAGTGCCAAAAAACTTTTATAAACACATTTGAACGAGATGTGCACAAACAAGTCTGTTATGTCATTTTTGTTTTCAACTATCCAAACGTCGCGAACTATCTCTTCTACAATAGCTAGGAAATGGAAAATAGTGAGGCCTGACTACGGCGCTGTTTTAGGCTGAAAATTACGAACTAGCAATAGCTGGTGAGCACTTTCGGGCCATTTTTCGCATTACATCACGGTGCTAGGATCCTGTAATAAAAACTCTATTACGTAGTACCATGATAATGGCAGAAAATGGTGCGCAAAACAACGAAATTTGATGGGGCTTGAGATGCATTTTGCAGTCTTTACTCTCCTAGGCTCTGGCATTGGGCTTTGGTTTCAATGCCATATCTATATGACCATTATTGGTCAGCAGTTATGACAATTCTAAGCAAATACATATTGTTTTGACCTCGTTTAATAATTCTTGAACGATTTTATAGTCGAAGTTCCGCATATTTGGAATTGCTCCAGTAGCGATACGACAATTCTTCGGAAGGGAATCTTTAGTCTTTAAGTGATGAGCCGCAGCAGCTAACTATTTACTTGGCAAAGAATGCTACCTGATCAGACGAAAATCTAAATAATAAATTATAAAAAAAAATATTTCACTAAATGGAATAACAACCACTTTGAGTGTATTTCTGAAATGAACTGAACAGATCTCCATAAAAGTTCTTCAGCCGTTCGGAGGTGATTTAGAAAACTCCATAGAACCCTCATAACGAATTTGAAAAGGAGCTCGGTCGAGCAGATTGAACCAAGAATGCTGGCTTTGTAGGCGATTGCTCCAACTACTGAGGAAACAGGGCCACTATAATCTATTGCTGTACTATTCAATTTTCTTGAGGCAACTATTATCCAGTGCGTCTAGTTTACCATTTCAAAAACTCGAAAATGATATCTCTTTAAAAATACAATTTAAAATACAAATACATTTAATTTCTGCTACGCGAGGCATTATTATTTTCGAACTTCGAACCAAATTCTAAGAAGGAAAAACAAACAAAAAAAAAGCCATCAAAAAAAAATACATAAAAATAATTTCAAAAAACTGAAAAATAAAAATAACATAATCAAAAAGTGAAGAGAAAAAAATATTATTCAAAACACACAACAATTATGTGTTGGTAAAAGCTGTCGAAGTATCGCTTTAAACTATTTACTAAATATTCATTAAATAATTTCTTTCTCATATATCTCACAGCGGCTGTAGATATAATGTGTTTTGTGCGATCGCCTGCATTTTGCTAATCGCTTTAATCATTTTCTTCACAATATGTTTTGGAGAATTCGTTTACCACAGGAGTCCGGATGCCGATCAGGAGAACTCCATTTTAACAGAATTGATCGGCTTTATTTTGCGACCATTCTCGAGTTAAACAAATATTAATATTATGAGTATATGCATATTGTTATTTTCGGGGGTATCTAAGTTAGTATAAATACAGTTATTAGTTGAGCTTGTTGCTCTAAAACCCAATTTTATATTTTTGTGTGAAAAGAAATAGCGCGATACATGTGGGTCGCATTCATTTGGTTTCCTTATCTCATCAAGAGTAAGGAGTTCGGTAAACCTGGAGATCATTAAACAATCTGAGCATTACAGGCTTGTCAAGGTAAGTCATTTTCGCAATGTACTTAACGCCTATAAATATGCAAATATATTGGTAAACCTCTCGTAGATTGTGGGCTTACTCATATTTTTGGGCTAAATAAATTTTGAGCAACTTTTGGGTCGAACTCCATGACGATATTATACGATTAAATTAGCAGTAGTTTTCTGGAAGGTTCGCTTATGGGTTAATGTACACAAAACATGTCATGTAAAGTAAAAAAAAAATCGTGAATGTACAACTCTGTGTAACTTGAAGAAAAATTTAAAAAAAAATTACGTTTTTTTCGTGCGCATCCCAATAGATCTTGCCCAAACCAACGTGTTCCAGAACTTTTAGCAGTAAAACATAATCTAAAAAATGTGTGGTGCCATATGTGATTGCCTAAAAGGTTCCGGAAAGGTTGTCTGTTGGTAAGTTATGTAATTAATGTATGCTTAAGCAATTGAAATTTGTATGAGAGCATTATCTTATAGAAGATGCTCATCTCAACAGTTTTCCTAACATCTTCATAAGTTATTCCCAGCAAGAAAAAAATTAATCCTGGATTTATGATTCCAAAAATATATTGAACATAAATCGATGTGCTCGGATCTTGCATCTTCTTGAATTTATATGTTCGCACAGACTTTTAGATACACTGTTTATTTTTATCTCAGATCATGACAAAGTTAAGACTAACTAAGAAAAATATTTCCAAATTCTTCCCGAAAAAATTTAACTAAGCTTTATAACATACATTTATTATTATTTTTTAGTTGCTGTCAATGTGCCTTAAGTCTTTGCTTAGGCCTAATTTGTACCGTTCTTGTATTGGGTCTCATAATCGGTTTGATCGTATATTTTGCAGTCTATCACAATAAGGATAGTAGTGCTGATAAAAAGATGTTGGAAGAACTGGTAACTGCTGCACCGTTAACATTTAGAGGATTCTTTCAATAATTCGTATTGAGATAAAAGTATTTTAATTACATATGTGTTGTTGTGATTTGAAGGGAATATGTTTATTTTAAAATAATTACCGTTATTTACGTTTGTTACTTTTTTATGGAATTATTTCAATAAACGTTGTATAAAATATACAAATATATATATACATATAAATACTACGAGTTAATTATTTTATTTGGAATTTCCATTTGGTTTACTGGGTTGGCTTTGGTAATGGTTCTAAGGGGGAATTCATTTTATAACTTATCCGCATCCTTAATATCCCTTTTTCCTCATAATCTTATAAAACGTTTCTTACAAATTAATCTTGGTGGAGAAGAATGTCTCGCATTACCCGGATTCCACTCAGGATGTATGTGCTTATGCGATGTTAGGTGCTAGAATGGGGACGAAACTAGGCTAAGGACACTATCCCAATTACTGATTCGGTACTCCACTTTAGCATTTTAGTAAAAATATAGAAAATATACATTATGTCATCCCTTGCCGAATAATCGCCTGTCAACACCGCGATGAGCTAAAGCTGTGGAGAAAATCAAACGCTGCGACATGATAAAATTTCTTACAAAGTAAGTGTAGGGGAACTATAGTTATAATGGTGTGATATGACCGAACCCGATGAAAAAAGCATAAAAAATACAATTGCGTACCAAGTTTGACTAAAAGAAACGTAAAGGCTAAACAACCTTTTAAACGCTCATGTGATCCCTGAACAATTTAAGGGGTCTCATAGGAATTTTTCATTATTGTTTGATTAACATCTTGCGTATATTATCCTGAATTTTCATATTGATCTAAATAAAAGTTTGATAGTTACGCCTTTGGGCGCGTTATTCTCGAACCATCTTGATGAAATTTTACAGAGGTCTTTGAAATAAAATTCACATAGAATTGGAGGACTTTTTTTAACCAAAACTATTTAATAAAAAAATTGTTGAGCGACTTTTACCAAAATTTGTCTATTTAAAGAAAAAAATAATTAGAGAAACTGGAATTTTAACTTTTTTCAATTGTTCTTCGGCCAAAACTCAAGTTTATGATATCAACTAATATTGTATTAACTTTTAAATTCGATTGATATTGTCATGAGTTCTACCGTTTATTTTTTTTCAAATGTACAAATATATTTAAGCAAGAAAATAGTAAAAAATCTTATAAAAAATGATTTTTCACCGAGTAAACCCACGTAACCCCTAAATGAATGAGGTTATGATCAAAATTGAAATGAATTCACCACGAATTTCCTTGTGCGTAAATATAAATTAAAATTGATTTTCGAACTATATTGGCATCAACTAAAATAATTTTGAACTTTTTGGAAAACAAAAATGAAATATATGTATAAATTTTTTTTTTCATTCTAGTTCATGTTGTCAATAATATTAATATCGCAAATGTCGAAATAAAAAAATAAATCAATAAAAAAAAGGATATACATTTTGGGCGAAATGTGCAAGTATGATATTTTTTTAAATGTTCTAGTGTTTTTTTAAAATATTTTTTAATTGTTAATTTTCTTACATTTATTGATATTTGCCATAAAATTGTGTAATTTGAGTTTGATTATCACCTTTAACCAGACGAATGTCCAAGAGTTTTACTTAATAGTGGAGTGTAGAACCGTTTCCAAAGATGCATTTTCATTCATTGTGCAGTTGATTTTTATTTTACCCGAATTTTTTATTGTCCACCCTGCTTAATATGCAACTTTCCTGCTGTGTGACCATGGCATACCTTGAATGGAATGGAATCAGGAATTTATACATACATACATAAATTGAAATGAGAGTAAGCTATTCTATCCGAAACACTCTTGAAATGTAGTAATATTCTTTTCAAGTGAAGGACACAGTCATAAATTATAATAGCGTATAATTATGCTGAGTATTTTGCTAATCCCTTCAGCGGTTATATCGATAGCATACAAATGAAAGTAAATTGCTTAACCTTTACACAAAAAAAAAAAAAAAACAAATACAAACAAATACACACATTAAGAAGTGTTTTAAGGTCCTTTCAACACTTGTACAATATTCTATATTTCCTAAAATTCGCAAAACCCTTTCGGAGTGCGTTAATGCATACATACAAACATACATAAACATACATACATGTTTGAGCATGCCGGATACGTATGTGTGTGCAATGAATGCATATTTTCGCTTAAAAATTGCTACCTACGGGCGTTACTATGGAAAACACTTTTTGAAGGCGGAACCATAGGATGGTTCTATTATATGTATGTATGTATGTTTAAACTAAATCAGGTATTCATGTTTTAGTTAAAATAAGTACTCACGTACATACATACATACATACATACATACATGCATACATACATACATAAAACTTAAGTTTTAAAATATTTTTGGGCTTACAGTAGTCTGGGAAAGAAAGATTGGACGCCGGAAAGCTGTGATCACAAGGGACAACCAAACGATTTTCTATTCAAATCGTTCTCTTAATCTGAATGTACTTATGGTCAACTCGTTATAAGGAAAAAAGACCTGTCTTAGGTCATGTCGAAGTCTTTATACCTTTCATGACCTCATCAAATTTTCAAATTTATGATATTTATGATGATTCTCTGCCGATAATTCTCGGTGTCTAGAATGCCAAATTTCATTTATGGCCCAAAATTCTGAAAACTGAAAAATTGGTTGGACATACATTTGCTATAGTAGCATGTCCAATTTTGGTAATATCGACAAATGATCACTTATAGATACCAGTGCTCATCTGTGTACAACTTTGATACTACTTTAAGTACAAACAGACAGACTGACAGACATGGCTTAATCCACACAACTCGCGATTCGAATACTATCCTTTTCCTTTCGGTACTTACAAACTTTAGGTTAAAGTTAATAAACCATTTTATGTAGATGAAAGGCTAAAGAGAGTGAGGTGGAAGCTCGAAGCAAGATCAGTGCCATCTCTTCATCGATTTTAAGGCGGTCTTCCTGCAAAACTTATGAGAGTTTGTTAACTGACGTTGAACAACATTAGATATGAAGAAAAAGTCCAGTCCGAGGCATTCAGCACCAAACAAGGTCGCAAACGAGATGATGATTCTCAATCGTGCCACTACTTCTTAGTTCACCAGGCCAAAGACAAAGAAGCAAAATTTGATGGGTTTTCGAAAGAAAAATTTTGCGAAAAATGTATGGACTTTTCTGTACTAAACGCATACGGTAGACAATAGAACTATATGAAATATGGTACGAATTAAATGACGGCGCCTATCATATCTAGGTCATGTAAATTGTACGTACGTGTATGAAAACACTCCAGCTTTGAAAGAGCAATGTGACAGCCGAACAAGAGAAAGAAGACATCCACGCCACTGGAAAGTTCAGATGGAGCAGAGCTCGGTTTTATTTGGAGAGGTTTCTTATGGAGGCTTGCGCTTGTTTTACTAAAATTTCATAAATCGTTTTAGTCTATGTTTGCATACTTAGAACCAGAGAAATGAATTTTGAATTTTTAGAAATTTTTTGCTTCGCTAGCTTTTATTATTATTTTTATCACATATTATTAAGCATAAATTCCGCCTTTTCCTCACTCTTCCTCCTTCTAATATCACATTTCAGGTTTTGTATGTGGCTGGCTTGTACATTTGTTGTACTGTTAATGATCTTCGTTACGCTTCAATTTGTTGGTGTTATTGAGCATAAAGAAAATGAAGATGTTATGGGAGAATTCTTCAAGTATATATCAAGTGCTATGAAAGGAAATATATAATTTTTATTCTTAATTAAATTAGTACATTTTCTTTTGTATTTAAATATTTTATTATGTAATACATAAAAGGTCGATTGCGAAAACATTAAATATAAACACATACATATATACATATAAGTATGTATATTTGCTTGCTTAATTATGGTTAGGCCATTTGAAAAAAAAAAAACAAAAGAAACAATAACAAAAGATCCACGCTTGTATGTACGAGTACTTACAGCAGGTAGGCGTTCATCTCTTCCATAGAATTGTCAGGATATTAGCGAGCGTTGTCTGCTACGCTAGAATCACTATAAATATCATGCATATTTCTCCTTTGATTTCATTCGGTTTTGCAACATTGACAACAACACAACTCGTGACATTGGTAAAGAACTCAAAATAGTGTCAACAACTTAAAACTTACACCGGCAACGCGTTTGGAAAATTTTCGCCGCAACACAGGCAAATTTAGTGCACCAACACAAAGGCAAATTTGTAAAAACAAAATTTTCACGAAAATTTAAAAAATGTTCCGGTCACCATTTATTGAGATAGAACTCTCCTACGGTGGTAGTTTGAAGCCATCTCCCGAAGGCGAAAACGAAACGTCTACACGTATTCGCACAGCACGAGTGATCTGTCTACATCGGTTTGTAGTCAACTCTCCAGAAGTGGACATATTTTATAATTTTACTTCATGGCAATTGATCGATGGCAAGTGTACATCTTTTTATTTCTTTTGTCCATGCGATTGTGGACTTTTAGTTGAAGATGTTATGACACTGCACCGCCCGATATCGGTTCAAATCAAAACTACGAATCTTCTACCAGCTGGAGATATACCAAGGGATTTGGTTGAGCTTGAATTAGAATTGAATCAACGTATTCGGAAGGCTCAAGCCTATGTAAGTGGACTAAGTATGGAAGAGGCACGACAACTGGACGCCTCGTCGCATTTATTACGTGCAGTGAATATACCAGCAATAGGCCAAATGGCTGCAGAGCATAACCAGCAGCTGCCTCGTACAATCTTCCTGAACTATTCATGTGACTTGCCATATCATGTAATACCTATAATAGATGCTTTAGAAATACCGCCAATAACAGACGTCGCAAGACTACAATTATCACTACAAGACGATGAAATTTCTTCAAGTTCAGACGTGGTAGAAACACATTTACGTGGACATCGTGCTCAAAGATTAATTCATAAAAGAATTATTGTGCAATCGGAGATAATAACTACGACTACTACAATTGAAGAATGTGACGTGGGCGAAGTTGACGATGCAGAAGATGGAGCAGATGGGGAAGATAGCGGAGATGAAGAACATGAAGAAGATGAAGAAGACGGGGATGATGGGGATGATGCTGACGACGGACCCCAAGAACAATAATTCGATAACGAAGCGGAAGCGGAAGCAGATTATATACAAAGGAAATTCATGAGAAGATGAGCGACTCCTTTCTACATAACCAAAAAATAAGCCAGATGCTGATCATCATAAAAATGATTATGAGGATTATTAATTCTTAATTTTTGACGAGTGATTTAATTATCTTAATATTTATTTGCATCTTTAAAATTTATGTATATGTAAATTATACTATTTATTATACAGCAGTGTGTTAAGCAAATAATTCCAAAAATTTCATGCTATTTACTTTTTTGTAAAAAAAGAATGCAATATTTTTCATAAAATATAATTTAAATATATAAAGTACAAATATTGGCTTTTCATATACAATATAATGGGCAGTCTTAAAAAAATTACTTACATATGTATTTACATATATGTATATGACATTACCACTATATAATTTGGCACTTTTTAACCGCTGAAGCGATTTTCGGCCTGCTGATGGTTTTTTATGATGAAACCTTTATTTCATGACCGAAATGCTCTCGGAGGGGTGGACACTCCCTACCGAGGGGCGACCGCAAATAGAAAATTTAACTTAACTTTATATATAAATTAATTTTCCATAACTTTTGAATGTTGGTGGCAGCGAGATTTGAACCCCAGAATTCCGAATCTATATTTATTATATATAATCCTCTCACACTTAGTGATGTGCATCATGATGTTTTTCCTAACATATGGATTTTCCGATGGAGGTTTCTAGGGGGATTTTTTTATTTCATGTCAGAAATGCACTCGGAGTACTTGGCATTCATTGTCTAGGGCGATCGAAATTGGAAAAAATAATTTTCTGTAATTTTGGATGTTTGTTGAACAACGACTCGAAGAGCAGAAAATCAAATTTTAAACAATTTCCGCAGAAAATTTTAACTTTCCTTTATCTCAACGGAGTTTCATGTAGGGTATACTCTGCCTCAGTTTGAGTAGTTGGTTCCAAACATTTTTTTGTAATGAATAATAATATTATTCACTTAATTTTTTCAAATTAAAATTAATAGTCATCAGGGGACGACAACAGAGTCAAAGTTTATTTTTTGTTTTTAGAGCTTGTTTTATTATTTCTTAACAATCAATGTTAGCTACATTGCACTTACTAAATGCATTTTATGAGTTTGCAATTAAATAAATTAATTATTTTTAAAGATTTTAAACCCCAAATATTTGTGTCACCCTTTCGTCTTTGCTCATTGTAAGGACTGTGGCATATAAAGTTTGCTTGCAATGCGTGATATTTCAAATTTCAAATTTTTCTATGCAACTATTTCTCTAGCATGTACAAAAAAAAAAAAAATATTGTATCAAGTAACGCCGACATTGAGGGAAATTTCTTAGAAGTCTAAGTCTGCTTGATACGCCACGCCACAATGGTGTTTTTCTTCCTCTTTTCTAGTATAGTTCTATTCCGTTTTGACAGTTCTCACAGACAGCATCTTTAGTTTGTTTAGAATCTCTACATTATTTTATAGGGTTAACTAATTCGCGGTTTGAAAAGCACAGGGCTGTATTTTGCCAACTGTCAAACTTGACTGTGAAACCATCTCAAATATCGCTATTGTAAGTGAAAGTATAGCCGAAAACCTGAATATGTCTATTCCTCAACATTCTTAAAAGCTGTCGCGCTTGAACTTATATCACAAGGCCGTACATATGTACATAGTACGTTGATTGGGTGCTTGAAACAACAAAAAAGTAGACGACAATTTTTCAAAAAAAAAAAGATTTTACGCGACGAGGAACCTTTTTCAAGTAAATAAAGAAAATTTTCGCATTTGGCGCTCCGAGAACCCTAAACTAATTGAAGAGAGGGCAACTGCATCTATAAAAAAACCCCACTGTCTTGTGTGCTCTAGGGTAGGGAGGTGTCATTGAACCTTAGTTCTTTGAAAACGATAACGCGAGACTGTCATTGGCTACTCGGAGCATTAAAGTCGTATGATAACCGAACGTTTTTAACCAACGAGCTCAAATGGATCAAAGTTTGCAGCTAATTGAGTAATTAGTGTTCCACCTGTAATGCCAAGAAACAAACTTTGCAATAAAAAAGGGAATTTTATCAAAGAAAAAAATATTTTAAATGCATTTTATTTACATTTATATTCGAAACCGCAACCCTGTATGTAGTATTGACATTTATACCAAAGAAGATCCCGATAATCTACGATATAACTTTACCTATGCTTGCAACAACAAAGAACATAACTGAGTACCACTAGTTTTTTTTTCTTTTTTTTATTGTTATTGTCTGTGCTTTTTAGATTATAGTTTTAAGTGAACTCGCACATTTATTTTTTTTAATCCACGAAAATCAAACACGCTTTTAATTTGCCAATTTCAATTATGTACAGAAACATTGTGTGGAAAAGTTTATCAAACTAATCCAGTGTATAATATTAGTGACCCACCAGCTGGTACAGAGTATGCTACATATTTTTTATATATTTTTTTTTCGACGAATGTTTACTTCAAGTATTATACATATTATATTATATACATTATTGAGTAAAAAGCAGTACATGCTACCCGTCAAAGGATGATTCAGTCCGCTCGTCAAGGCTCACTGGATATAAATAATTAAAAGCGATTCACATTAGACTCATCTACATACATACATAAGTGCTTTTTAAAAACAAGGTGAGTTAAAATTGGTTTTTATTATTTTTTAGTGAATATTTTACACATTTATAACATAAAAAAAAAGCCTAAAAAACTTTTTTTTTAATTTTCCAGTAAATTTCTTTACATACATTTGAATGCTATAAAAAAGAATGCAGAAAAGACAGATTTGAACCATTAAACATGAGAAATGCACGTAAAATGACCTCACAAAAGAAAAATTAAACATTGTGCGATTTTTTTTACATACACTTGTATAGATATACAATATCATATAATACGAGTAAAGGATGGAAAATGAAGAAGAAGATACCCATGACTTCGTAGACGTTACAAATGGCGGAAGCTATGAAAATGAATTTGATTTCGAATCAATGTCGGATCTACAGCGATTAACACAGACGGTCATATCATTGACAAGAACAGTACAATTTTCCCATTTACTAATATGCAGTCATTTTCGTCGTATAGCAGCTGGTGTACCAACAATCAGGGTGAGTTACAAGCGCGTGGGCGGCTTGCGGTTATTAGCAGCGCAATGTGGTTGTGTGGGTATATGTGAAAATAGGTGTTCAGTGTACTAGATCATATGTATTTAATTTAGTTGTATGTAAATGAGAACATTTTATTATTGGTACATACGTTACCAGATTTAAAGGACTAGATTTAAAGGACTTCAATAAGAAATGTAATTTGTTTACTACAAATAAAATGAGTAAATAAATAAATAATAAAAAAAATAAGTTTTTACCTTTTTATACGCAGGTGGATAATGATTTATTTATGGTTTATTTTCATTTACTTTGCAACACTGGTTTAGCTGTCAGATTACTACTTGTTTCGAGGGGTTAAAACCGTAAGAAACATCAGCAAATGGGCTGAGGATGTTCTACAACGTCGGATTCCAACAATTCCACGGAGTACTTATGTCGAAAACTCAGTTATCAAGATAAAATGAGTACATAAGTTCGTGCCCGATTCCGCTGGATCCCGTTCGAGTCGTTTGACAGTGGAGCTCGTGAAAGAAATATATACATATTATATATCGTTGGAAAGGTAACAGTCCAAACTGTAAATAAAGCATAAAATAACTTCATTTAGATTTGAGTTGCTTAGTGAAAAAACGCATGGAAGCACTCCGCACAGTAAAGAAATGGTTCGCGAAATTTTGTTCTGAAGATTTTAACCTCGAAGATCAACCTCGCAGTGGACGGCCTTCTGGGCTTGATGACGATGTTCTAAGGACTTTAGTTGCGAATAACTCACGTATTTTAACGGAAGAGGTTGCCAGTGAATTGAACGTCAACAAATCAACTGCGTTTCGTCGTTTAAAAA